AGAGTTGGTGATTTGTTCAACTTTGTTGTTCCAACCGAGATGGTTATTTCGGTTGAAAAAGTTGATGTTTTGTTCAGCTTAGGTATTCTCAATCGAGATGGTTTATTCCGGTTGAGAGACTTGGTGATTTGTTCAACTTTGTTGATCCAACCGAGATGGTTATTCCGGTTGAAAAAGTTCAATTCTGCTACTTATACCGTGATGTGAATTCCGGTCAGGCCAGGTGGTTCAAATCGAGATGTTTTGCTGAAGATAGAGTTGGAGAAAACTGTGTAAACAGATGAAATTAAAGCTTTTTATTGATAAAAATTTAATACAAAAGGTAGGGAACTTAGCCCGGTTACATTTGCAGACAAAGAAAAAAGAAAACTAAGCTAAAGAGGAGAGGTCTGGGAATTCCTCATCAGCTTCCAGATTGACCGTTGCTGTCTGGTCCTGGACACCGATTCTAGTCTGGCTGGGCTGCTCTTGCTCGATTTGGTCATCTCCCTCAGCGTGTGCCTCGGCTTCTTCGAATCCTTCCTCGGCCTCAGCCTGCAGAGCGCTGAAGACGTCATTGGCGTATGGAATGAGGTAGGTCGGTAAGAAGACAGCCGGTGGAGAGGTAAACACATCAGTGTCAAGACCTTGACCGAGCTGTTGACAGGCAGCCTTCTATCCAGCTTTGAAATATATGTCCTGGGTGGCGAAGACTTGTTTTTTATAGTTGTCTTCCGCCTCTTTGAAGCCGGCATTATTAGCGTCTTCACAATCCTTCTCCCTGGACTTCTTGAGCGCGTCCAGCTCGGCCTGGAGCTCGGCCCTCTTTTTCTCGGCTTCGTCGAGTTGGCCGAGCAATCAGTTGTTGTCGGTGTTGGCGATTTCAAGCGAGGACTTTGCTCGGCCAAGCTCAGTTTGGAGGCCTTGGACTTGGCTGGCAGTGTCGGCTGCCTTTTGCCGAAGTCGGTGGATGCGCTCCATGACTAAGTGTTATTTTTGGATGGCCTGCAAAAAGGAAACTTGATCAGAGAAGAAACCGTGAAAACACTTGGGAAAATTTCAAAGGCAGATTGAAGCTTACCCTGGCCATGGACTTGGTCGCTGCCAATCACGTCGCTCGGTAGGAGAAGGGCCTTGGAAAGATCGTAGGCGAGCAGGTGCTCTTTGTCGCCCTTGATCGAAGCTGTCGCCGGGATGTCTTTACCCCGGTGCTTGAGTAGCGGACGCCAGATTGGTGTTGGGTCAGCTGTGACGGTAGGTTGCTCGGTGGTTAGCTCGATAATCATCTCGGCAGACGGGTCCGCGCGAGCTCTTTTGCCAGCCCGGCGTGTTTCTTGGCTAGACTACCCGGCAGCTGGAGAAGCTAGGGCGACCACGGCGCCGCTTGACTGACCGGCGGCTGGCGAGCAGATGACGACGCTCGGTATCTCGACAGACGTTGAGGTGAGCAGGTTTTTGATTCGGCTTCGTTTGGCCATCTCTTGCTCTTCTGTCAACCGGATTAGCGGAACGTCTGGCAAAGTTAGATCTGGAGGAGGTGTTGGAGCACGGAAAAATTCTGTAACTTTACTCCGGCGGGGAGCAGAGTATCTGTAGGTTGGAGTATAACCGAGCAACTCGTTGCAATCTCGGTCGCGGTAGCGAAGCGCGGTCCTGATGGCTTCTACGTTGGGGTATTGGTAGTTGGCTTGCAAGGCCTGGATTGCTGCAAAAGAAACAAGAAAAATGGTTAAATACAGAACTATGAAGAAAGTAAGCTAACCGAGCAAGTTTGAGCAGCTTACAAGTGGAACCAAAGTTCTTGCTTATGAACCAACCCGGTACCGCGGCTGTTTCGTAATTGCCAGACACCCAGAAGAAATCATCATCATGCAAGTCCTTGTTTGGTGTGCCGGTCACAATTTTTTCTTTGCCCGGCCTAATCTTAAGGTAGTAGGCAAGGCCGTCGCCGGTGTGCCCAAGGGTGTACTGCCGCAGTATCTCGGCTAAACCTAGGTTTATGCCTAACCGGTTGTTTAATTCGTGCACACCGTTTACTATCCAGTAGGTGTTGGTAGACACTTGAGTGGGTGCTAGCCCGGTGCGGCACAGAAATTCGGTGATTAGTGGATTGAGCGGGAAACGGAGGCCTCCTTTGATGATGGACAGCACGGTGAAGGGGCATTGTTCTGATCTGCCCCAAGGCGTGGTCTCTTCTTCTGCGAGCTCAAGGTGGACGTCGGCCGGGATGCCGTACTCCTCCCTGAACGTAGCTAACGCAGCCGGAGTATCCACCAGGAAGTGGAATTTCCCCATGTGGCCGACTAATCTAGCTCGGCCGAGGTGGTTTGGCACAGACTAGGAATGGGTGGCAGTTCGATCCTTATGAGCCTCAGAATTGGTCTTTGGTCCCCTTGGACTCTGCAGGAAAAAGGATGGCAAGTATAAGAGGAAGCGCGGTCGCGCAAAATGAGCTTGACTTTAGCTCGGTCATGGATTGTGCCAAACCACCACGGTCGTAAGGTCTAACCAGGAGCTCGGTCGCCCAAGCGGACCAGTTGTTAGCCTGGTCGAGCGGCCAAGTCCTATGGCCATTCCGGTTTTTGCTAAGATTACAGCAAACAGTTTATTTTCTCGGTTAAACTGATTTCTTGGATCAAATGGAGCCCGGTCAGCCCCAGATTCTCAGTGTTCTTCAGGAAAATGAAGAACAGTTTGAAGAAAAACAAAGAAACTAAGGGGCATTGAAGGTTGTGGGTGGGGAAGGCCCTAAAACCTACGGATTTGGTACAAAAGAGGAAGAAATATCAAATGAAAATGACATGGGTTGAAGGACTTACCAATGGAAGGCCTGCTTCTTCGGACACAAACGCAAAGAATGGCAAACGAGGTTTGAAGGAAGATGCTTGAGCTTTGAAGCGTCGGATTGCAGAGAGGCAGTAGGAGCGAAATGAGGGAGAAAGGGCTTGTATGTATAGATGGAGAAACCGCCAAGAATTCAAATTCTGGCAGACGGCTGGGTTGGCTGCTCGAGGTCCAATGGAAGCCTGCCACGTGTCCCCATTTATGACGACGTCAGAACTGAAAGGACAGGTTGAAGAGTTGAGGAGACAACCGGGCAATTTTTAAAGAAGAGAACGTCAACCGAGGAGTTGAACCAGACAAATTTCGCAGACAGGAGTCAACTAGCCCGGTCGCAGATTCGCATTCTAAGGACCGAGGAAGTGTTATCTCGGTCGGAATATGTAATCTCAGTCACGCTTTTGCGGACGAAATTAAGGGGCAATTGAGAGGGAGATTTATGATCTAAAATTGGGCCGTGGTAACGGCCGGACAGATTTGGGCTGAACACATTGGGCCGTGGAAGTTTTGGGCCTGTCTAGAGAGTGTTGGTCGATCAAGGCTAGGCACTGACAAGGCGGTGCTTCATGGCACAAGGACCGGTCAAGTGAGGGCTAACCCGAGTTGTTCGCTGCCTCACTGTGCTCCACGGTTCGAGAGTTAGCTTCGTGGGAGCGCCGACGTCCAACTAGCATGAGCTGAGCCGAGCTCGGCTCTGCCGGAATGTAGCCGAGCACGGTCGATATTGAACATGGCCTGGAGTAGCTCGGTTATGGAGCGCTTGGGCTTAAGTGTGGAATGGCCGTTGGTAGCCGAGATAATGTTGACCGGCTGCCGAGCTCCCAACAGAGTAGGCTGGCAGTTGGGATTAGGTGATGCTCAGCAAGATTTGTGTTGACGGATGGGATAGCAGAGCCGCGTGTCGAGAGATCACTCGGAGTAGATTTGGGGCACAGAGGGTATATAAGCATGTCTGCGCCCCCCATACGGGCACAAACGAACATTTGGTAAGAAACTCTTACCCTCAAACTCTCTCCTCTCTCTCCCCCTATCTCAAGGTGTGTGCTAACTTGGTCGTCGGAGAGGTTTTCCAGCCACACACCGCCAGGTAGCTCACCGCCGTTGTGCTTTCAGGCGATCGGACAGAAACGAAACTTGAAAGAAAGGAGTACAAACTTACCGAAATATTTGCTCCCCGTACAGATTATATGACAGTGAAGCAAAATCTACAGATTTGAATACCCTGCCTTGTAATTAAAATTGTAATAGACCCTAGATTTGATTGATGGCTGATAATTTCTTTTGAGTTTGAAATAAAATACAAAACGTGCACATAAAATATATATATCGTGTGATTGAAATTTCCGTGCATTTAGCATTTCTTGTGTCAGATAACACCTTGCAAACAACTTACAAGCCTTCGTGGTTGATTGGCCAGTAGAGGTTCCCCAAATCAAAATGAGTGTACAATTTTCAGATTTCTCATTGTTATTAGTTTTTCACAAAAATTGTGTTTGAATTTTAAATTTAAATAGTAATTTGAGTAGTCCTTGAAACTCATCAGATGAAATTTTGACACGTCAAATGTTAAATCTGAATCCAAACATGTTTAATTAACCACAATAAAAAAGAATCAAATCAAATAAAGAGTTTTGATAAACTAAAAAGAGTTCTGCCTACTCAACGACGTGGACATGGAAATTAAAAACTGAACTTCATGAATCAACATTATTCTTTTGGCATGTTACAATAGTACAGAGAGAGTAAAAAATAATATGTATTGTATTCAATTAATTATTCATATATAATAGAAGGTCTATATATATAAGTTGAGAAAGAGTATTCTATAAATAAAAATTAGAAAGAGTATCTTATAAAAAATCTAATTATGATAATACAAATATATTTAGAAAATCAATATTATATATTTAAAAATATATTCTATATATATATATTTTTTTGATAACTCAGAATGTCCGGACTAATTTGCACGCACCTCGACTAACACTACCATATATATATTAAGATCGCAAATGCACAGGAAGGTTCTCAAACAAAGTCCTGAGCCACACTTAGTCAAAGCCGTGCAATGGACTCCACAATTGATAGATATTTTAGACTAACTTGCAAGAAACCTCACAAACAAGCTCTCTATATATATTACCACTAACCACCACCATCATCACCGCCGCCACTCACCCATGGCGGAGAAGGAGGAGCAGACCAAGCCTCTGTCTACCACTACCACCCGTTCCTACCAGATCAACGGCGAGCACGATCATGCCATTTCCATAGACCTAAAGAAACACCACCACAACCCAAAATACCTCAAGTGTTGTGGCTACATCTCCGCCTTAATTTTAATCCTAGCCTTTACCATCTTGATGCTCATTTTCACCGTGTTTCGTGTCAAAGAACCCGTGTTGAATATCAACTCCGGGAAAATAAACGGCCTAGATCGTGCCAGCAAGAACACTATTCGTCTTGACACAAACTTGACTGTCGTAGCTGATGTTTCGATTGAAAACCCGAACGTGGTCGCCTTCAAATTTGGAAACACCACCACTACTCTTTACTACGGCGGTGTGGTGGTGGGAAATGGAAGAAATCCGGCAGGCGTGGCTGAGGCAGGCAAGACAGTTCGAACGAATATGACCATTGATGTCATGACAGAGAAAATATTAGGTGTTAGGAGATTGACGAGTGATTTGAGTTATGGAGCATTGGGTATGAGAAGCTACACCAGCATAAGTGGAGGAGTGAAGATACTGAAGATTATCAAGAAAAATGTTGTGGTGAAGGTGAATTGCAGCATGACATTTAACATCACAAGCCAGGCAATTCAGGATCAAATTTGCATGCAACACATGTCGTTCTAGGGTTTTATCGTGTTAGGGTTTGTGCTGGGATAAATTCCTCACACTGAGTTGGATACCCTTTTGCGAGCGAGCTTTCATATATATACCTATATATATTCCTGTAAAATAGTACAATCGGTGAGAACAAACCGATTGAATGTTTCTTTGTCTGAAAGGGCTCTGGCGTTCAAGTTAGTGAAATATATTATTCTGTACAAATGTAGAATAAGAATTCAATAATGTTGTTGGCTTTTGTTCATGCCTCTTTTCTCTTCTTTCTCCCTTTTTATAGTCAGTTGTCATGTTAGCATGATTTTCTTATGTAATATTTTTTAAGACATAGTTTAGCCCTTATTCTGACATTAACAGGCCTTTGCGATGCCACTCACTACAAAACATCAATCAATTGGCAAAATAACTAGCTTTATCTCGCTTATCTCATCACCTTCATCCTATATAATCCCTGATGTCCTTTGATCGGATGTGTTGTTCTTGTTATCTCGATGAATTTAGTTGGGACACCTTTTGACTAGACCCTCTTACTTTGCTATGTGGACTTTCCGTTCTAATCTAACCCATCCTAGTAAGCTTGTTTTTATACATGGGTCCTGCTACGTTTTATGAAAACTGTCATGAAAATCATCTGCACCGTTGGATCATGAGACACATACCTGATTTAACGGTGCAGATGATTTTCATGACAGTTTTCATAAAAATTCTTCATGAAACCTAGCATTTCCCTTTATACATCCTTTGATTTGATTATTGATAAATAGTGAAATGATATAAACAAACTGTAGTGATATATAGAACGAAATTACTGATTTTCAGCCTCAACAACCTTGCCACAAGGAGGGGTGATTATTCAGTACTCCCGGAGTATGGACAAGTGGTGCTTCATAAGGTTTTGATTGGTGAAGAGACACAAGGGCCCACGATTTATGTTGGAAATAGGGGGACAACATGGGGCTAACTAATTGATAATTGGTTTGGAGTATGGACACGTGGTGCTCCGGGAGTATTGAATAATTTCCCCACAAGGAGACAAATTGATATGCTTTGGTTAATTGTGGAGCATCAATATCGACCCCGTTTGGTAGAGTTGTGGAAAAGTGATTATAACTTATAACCTAACAGCTTATAGCTTATAGCTATAAACATAAGTTGATTTGTGACTTATAAATTAAGCTTCTCCTCCCCCACTCAAAAAATAAGTTGATTTTTGACTTACAAAAAATTATAAACTGTATTATTAAGCTGAACCAAACGCATCAAAATAATTTCAATTAAATTAAAAACTGAAATAAATTAAAAATAAACTTTATCAAACAGGCCATCAACGAATTCGTCATTCCCAATATGATTATGCCACATAGAGAGAGAGAGGGAGAGAGAGAGAGAGAGTATCTTTTGCAAATGTTCTCGATCCTAACTTCACACTCTCTTGATTTGAGGGAAAAAGAGAAAACAATGAACAATTTTATACTGTTTCCTTTACTTTCTACTGTTCAATCTTCTGTGTCTTTTTGTTCTTATTACAAATTAAAAATTCTAAAAACAGTGTTTACTAAGTATTAAAAATATGTAACTTTTAAAATTGTCATTAGTAGAATACAGAAAATTTACCTACATTTTGATTTAAAAAAATTCAAAGAAATAATGACGATGATTAAACAAAAATTGAATCCAAAATGAGACATCAATGATTTACATTCTCCATTCATATATGCAAATTTTATGATATTATTATATTATAGTCAATATGTGAGTTTTTAACTTATTTCTCATATATATGAGCATTACTATTGAAACTCAAAAATTATACTCAATTTCAAGATCAAGTGGTATGTCAAAAGGATAATTGATTGAGTATTAAATATTCTCTAATTATTAACTAATTATTTTCTTAACACATAAGTCTAAAAATTAGATCTAAAAAGTAAACTTCTATATTATTTTCCTTCTCTTATTCCTTTAAAGACTTGAATCATTATCAGTCATAATTTTTATAACATACTGTCAATTTTAAATTTTATTTTTAAAATACATTATAAAAAAAATGAAAATGAAAATGAAAATAAAAATGAAAATTGAGCTCGTAATTTGATTTTACTTTATTTCATTTTTTTTACATCAAGAATTTCTACTAACCAAAACCTTGGATACTAGGAAGTAGGTTAAAATTTAATTTTTTAATTTTTTTGATTGATTTTAAAAAAATGTGTAAAAAAATAAAGACATAATATAACTCAAAAAAAAAATTAAAAAGAAAAAAAATTGATTTTTTAACCTCTTCCCAAAAGAAGCCAATTTGCTAAACTCGCCCATTTCTCAATCATAATGGGCAACTCAGGTTTCATTTGAGAAATGAGTTGACTTTTTGACTTTTTAATTTTTTTGATTATTTTAACTTGGGCCTTAAAAACCTGATTTGAAAAAGACTTTTGACTTTTTTGTAAGAAAAAAAATGTAATGATTATAGATTGAATATGATATTTTATTTTATTAAATTAAAAAATCTAATTTATTTTTTGTGATTATTTTAACCAAAAATCCTCAAACCTAACTTCCCAAACATAGGCTAAGGGACATCAATTGGCTTAAAATCCCTTAGCTTTGGCCTATGCCTGCCTCTGCTCGTATGGGGTTTTTACTCAACCTAAAGTCTGCATCTCGGACGGGTTTAGCTAGTCTAATGAGACTTGGCTTGGAGTTTGAAGTCATGCTCACCTATTTGTTTGACCGGTTGGTAAAGGAGAATCAATTGATAGATCTAACCTGTATGTCAGAGACTGAACATTTGTCAACCTTTTGAGAAATCGATTTCACAAATGAAAAATGATTTATACCTCCATTGGGCGTCGATCCCAGTGAGGTGGAGGTCCATGATTAGGCGGAAAAAAATTATTATTATTATTATTATTTTTTTTTTTTTTTTTCTCGGTTGGCAACCAGTGGAGGTACGCCACCTCACTGGGGATATAAGGCACAGCTCTTCACAAATAATACTACGTACCTTATGAATTATGTCCAAAAACCAACTCAAAAGATGTTATACGAATGTATTCTATCTGTCTTGTTACTCACAAACTAATACACTTGTAACATATTTGATATAGAACTCACATCCGTAATGAGTCAGCACGTAATATGGAACTAGCTAACAAAAATATGAGGAAAAAAAATGAAAAAATAAAAAACAAAGTATAGGCTTAATCTCACCCAGTCAACTTAATCACAAGCCTATCAAGCAAAATTTGGATTTAAGGGTTTCGACCTGTGCACCGAGTGAACCAAAAAATGACCGGAGGCCTAAACCGTACACCACTTTTCTTGGCCTAATTCGATGCCGAGCCTTATGGGGGCACATTCTAAAAGCGTGCATAATGTACACCTCTTTTATTACAACTCAATTTGGTAAATTATGACATAGCCTGTGTTTGGTAAGTGAGTTTGTAGGTTTTTTTAGCTATTTTAGTCACAAAAAATAAAATAGGCTATTGTAATCATAACAAACAAAATATCACATCCAATCCATAATCATTACATTCTTCTCTCACAAAAAAACTCAAAAAAACCAAAAGGCCAAAAAGTCTTTCCCAAACCAAACTTTTAAACCCAAACTAAAATAGTCAAAAAAATCAAAAAGTCAACCCACTTCCCAAACGGAGACATAATGAACTTAAAACTATAATTATAAACATAGGGTTGTTACTCATGTAATTTTTTTTAAGGGGTTATTTGAGGTGTCTTAAATAAGCGCATTTTTTATCTTTTTAAACTAAAAAATTGAGATTGAAAATATGAATATTTATGTTAATTTTTTGACTATTTATGAAAAAATATGTAATAAAAAATTATAAAAATTAATTTATAGGAAAAAATTCGAATTGAGAATTATGCAGCTGTAATTATTAACTTTTAGTGAATAGTATTAACTTTTTAACTTTTTGAGTAATTTTTTTGACTTTTTAACCTTTTTACAAGTTTCCAAACTTAGCCTAAACTAACAATCACAACACAAAATGTAGATACAAAAAAAAGATCTGCATCTTCTTCCATTTTCACATAAAAGGTTAGAAAAAAAAAAAAAAAGCTTTATACAGACAAATAAATACTAACTAGTGAGGTTCCATCTACTCCTGTCAGTGACAGGTCTTCATCACCACCTGAGTCCCTGACTACAACTATATCTATATCTAACATATATATATATATATTTCCATTGAAATCTCCGCTGAAAGATTTACAGAGAAAAGGGTCAAAAGTGAGAAATTCATTTTCTTGCTGATTGGCACTGTTTGGTTACTTTTCTCGTCAAAACCAATTTCAAAAGAAAAACGGAAAGCTGATTCCATTGTCTGCTGCCTTTCTTTTACCATCTCTTTGAACCACTTTTTCCCGCTTTTTCGCTCTTCCCTCTCTCAAATGCCAGTCTCTTTAAGCTCTTCTGAGCATTTCATCGAACACTTCATCGACATGTTCATGGATTTCTCGTGCGTCGTATCGCTCACTGACCGAAACAGAACAGACAAATCCGAATCTGATCAACCCAAAAAAAAAAATTAAAATTAAAATTAACTAACAAGTTTTTAATTGCTTTGAATCTTCAAAATCAAGAACTCGAATTGATGTGATGTGATGTTAGGGAATGGATTCTCTCAAGTTGGATTCGTTATTACCTTTGGATTTTTGTTCATTGAACGATCTCTTGCAGTGTAGAATGGCGCTTTGAATCCCATCTTGTTGCTGCAAAAACGAGTCGTCATTCCTTTTCGCCTGAATCGACCCAGAACACGGCGCCGCCGACGCTGATCGACTCTTCCCCAAATGCTTACACACCACTCGCAGCCCCGCCGGCAAACTCCCCTGTTTCTGACTCTTCCCATTTCTCGCCGCCGCCGGCGGTGGTTGTTCCATCGCCTCCGCCTGTTCTGACTCTCTCTTCGCCACCGTAGACTTTGCCGGAGATAAGCTTAATTGCCCTGAAAACCTCTGTTTTTCTCCGTATCGCTTCGAGACTCGAACGTAGAGAGGCTTGACCTTCTTCAAGTACTTGGAGAATTTCTTATCTTCGAAAGCCGATTCATCTGAGCTCTGTTGCTTCTGGGTACCAGAGGAAGATCGAGAACTGTTATCTCTGGTGAACAGAGACACAATCGGTACTTCTTCAACCTTCAATTTCACCGTCAAAAACTTGCTCTGTTTCTGTTTCTGTTTCTCAGATGTTTCCTCTTTTTTCACTCCCACATTTGCCTTGGATTTCTTCAATTTCAACATCATGACTCGAAACTTCGTAGCCGATGATTTCAACAGAGACGATTGCAATTTCGTCTTTGATTCGGCGATCGGAACGAGTCGTCCATTGAAGAACAAATCGTCAGAGGGAGAGAGATTGAACTCCCTCTCATCATCATCATCATCCTCACCGTCCGTTGTTGCATCAGACTTGAACCCATCATCCTCTTCATCTTCATCTTCATCTTCATCTTCATCTTCATCCTCATCGACATCTTCGAGCTTCGCTTGCTCGTCTTCGTCGGGAGGTACAGTGAGCTCCAAGTCAAAGAAGGGTCCATCGTCGTCGTCGGTGTCTGGTCCGTGGTGGGTCACAGCTGTGACAATGGTTGTAGCGGCGGCGTTGGAGGTGGCGCCACCGCCTCGCCAATACTTGAGCAAGCTGAAAGCTTCCATGGTTGGGAGAGCCAGGGTACAGGGATGGTGAAAGTTTGGTGGTCTTTATAAAGATAAAGAGGGTTTGAAATTTAAAAAGGGGAGAGAGAGAGAGAGAGCAGATTGGTACTGAAAATGGAGTGGGGGAGTAGTGGAGTGTAACAGAGGAGGAGCAGAGGGCAGAGAGAAGCTTTTTTAGTAGGAAAGGGATGATTGATCAAAAAGACTGTTCATTATATGGAGGGTTTATTTTGATAATTTTGAATTGTTTATTTTGTTTGGTTATGTGTGTAAATTGTGAAATTCATAAATTTTGATGGCATTTGTTTAAAAAACACTAGATGATAGATTATTTATTTTAAAAATAATTTCTCTATCTTTTTTAATGACAAACCTGGTAATAATAGGTCAGAATTATTAGATCAATATAATTTTTTTGACAAATTATAAATAGTATATTTTTTGAAATTTTTTTAAAATATGAATTACTTTCTGTTATTTGAAAAATTATATATAACTCATTGTCAAAAAAATTTATTTAACAAAATTGATCAAAAAAATAAAATTTATAATCACCCTTTTATATAATAATAAAATTATATAAATTATTAATAAAATAAATTTTTGATATTGTTAAAAATGTTAATTAATTTGATTATTTATTAATAAACGAGACGGTTAAATTATAATTTACTGTCTTTATGTTGAGTCAGTTTTTCACTTTCGCCTTTAAAATTTACTTTTTTCTTATTTTGACACTATGTTTCAAATTTTTTTCATTTTATTTCTAAAATTAACTTTTGTTCAAAATTAGATAGAAAATATTACAATAACTATCACATTACATAAAAAATACATTATTATATTAAAATTTAAGTTTATATTAACCGTATGAGTTATATATAATAAAATATTTATATCACGTGACTGTTAATATGTTATTTTCTGCCTAATTTTCAATAGAAATTAGTTTCAAGAGTAAAGTGAAGAAAAAAAAATTTGAAATATAAAGAATTAAAGTGAGAAAAAATAAATTTTAAAGGTTAGTGTGAGAAAGTAATTAAACAGAAAGGAGACAAGGTCTAGTTTATCCTAAAAGAGATCATTTATTGGCCTTGCTTGAGATAGGCTATTAATTGACTTTTTAGGTTAAAATTTATAAAAATATAAAATAGATTAAAATAGTTAATAAGATAAAATGTTACATTAAATTTATAATTATTTTATTTTTTCTCTCACAAATATCGCATCCAACTACAAAAAAAATCAATCATCTTCTCAAACATAATTTTTAACCTATTAAAATAGTCAAAAATTAAAATAACCAACTAAAATAGTCAACATCCCAAACAAGGCCATTATGAAATTAGAAAATTTAAAATGTTAGATGCAATTTTCAAAAGTACAAGAATCAAATTATATTTTAAGCCTTCGTTTGACATGCCAAACTTTTTAGCTTTTTAGCTATTTTAGTCACAAAAATACAAAATAAACTTTTTATCCTAATAAAACAAAACATCACATTCAAACCATAATCACTTCATTTATGCTCTCACAAAAGTCAAAAAAAATCCAGGCTAAAATAGCCAAAAAGTCAACCCACATTCCAAACGAATCCTAAGTAAATTTTCAAACGACAAATTACACTAGCAGTAAGTATAGTTTAGGACTCGTGTCACTTTGATCCTTGACTTTTTAATTGTGATACATTTGTCCCTGAATTTTGAATCTTGTTCCAAAGAAAGATAATTGAAGATATCATTACTCAAATTCAAGGACAAAATTGTTAATTTGATAAAATATAAACTAATTTGATAAAAATAAATATCAAAAGGATAAATTACAAATACACCTCCTGAGATTTGATTAAAATACGAATCGCCCCATGTGGTTCTTGAAATTACATTCCACCCCCTGAGGTTTCTAATTTCATAACAAATCGCCCCTTTCATTAATAAATCATCAAGTCAATTAACTGTTTTTAATGATGTTAGAAATATGTTTCAATTAATAATTTAGGTAATTTTATTATTGTATAAGAGAACAAATACGAATATTATTTTTTTAGTTAATTATTTTAAATAAAAAATTCTAACAGGGGGTATTTGTAATTTTTCAAACCATAGGGGCAATCTGTACTTTAAATTAACCTCAGAGGGTGTATTTGTAATTTACCCATCTTTTACACATTTATTTTTTCTTACCAAATTAATTTTTATTATGTGTTTGGATGATGATCATGTAATGGGTGATTGTTTTTGTTGATGTTTTTCGTTAGTTATCATGTAATAGATGATTGTATTTGTTGTTAACAAATATTTTTTTTTGATGATTATCATATAAAGAACGATTATTAGGCTTTTAATGTGTAATTAATATATTTAATATATGAAATATTTTTAATTTTGGATTTTTTTTTTATTTATTGGATTGGTTTAATAATAATGATATCAAATTTGTCGCCATATTTGACTTTTGAAAAAATATAAACTAGTTTAATGAAAATAAAAAGAAACACTCATTATATGATCATCATCCAAATATATGCTAAAAATTAATTTGGTAAAAAAAATAATAAAAATATAAAAGACTTATCAATTTTACATAATTTTATCTTTGGTGGGTAAAAATAATTTTTAAAAATTAAAAAAAAAATTAGCATTTATTTTTATCAAATTAGTTTATATTTTATCAAATTGACGACTCTGTCCTTGAAATTCAGCCATGATATTTTCAATTATCCTTATTTGAAACAAGATTCAAAATTCAGGATTAAATGTGTCACAATTGAAAAGTCAGGAACCAAAGTAATACGAGTCCTAAACTATAGGGACCATTAGTGTAATTCACCCATTTTAAAATATATATTTATAATTCATCCAATTTTTTTTATTATAATAATTGATCAAAATAAATCGTCCCAAATATGAATGATTTGGAAAGCTAGCTAAAATGCTTAATCATAGGGAAAATTATTGATAAATCCCATTTAGAAGTGTTTTAACCCAAAAAGTCTATGAAAGAATTTTTTAACCCATTTAGTCTCATGTATGTATAATTTTATTCCATAAAGTCTTTTTTCTTGATTTATACTATTTTCTTGGACACTTATACCCTTATATTTAATTTTGATACCCTTATAAATATTTTTTGAACGGTTAGCAATTTTATAATGTGAACATTCATATTTTAAAATTCACATTAGTAGGAATGTAAAATTGGCCCGTGAGCGGCCCGAAATCCGCCCGCAAGCCGGGGCGGTCCCGGTCCGTTGACAATGTGAATATTTACATTGACATGTTAACATTCATATCAATAGGAGTGTAAAACTGACCCGCGTCCCGTGGCGCGCGCGAAACCCGCCCGCGGCTCGGGACAGGCCCGACCCGGCCCGTTGACACTGTGAATATTCACATTGACATGTTAACATTCACATTGATAAGAGTATAAAATTGGCCCGCGGCCCATGGGCAGCCAAAAACTCGCCCGCGGCCCGGGGCAAGCCCGGCCCGGCTCGTTGACAATGTGAATATTCACATTGACATGTTAACATTCACATTGATAAGAGTGTAAAATTAGTCTGCGCCCTGTGGCTGCCCGAAACCCGCCCACGGCTCGTAGACGGCCCGGGGCCGGCCTGTTAACAATGTGAATATTCACATTGACATGTTAACATTCACATTGATAAGAATATAAAATTGGCCAGCGGCCTAAGACGGGCCTGACCCGGCCCGTTGACAATGTGAATATTCACATTGACATGTTAACATTCACATTGATAAGAGTGTAAAATTGGCCCGCAGCCCGTGGACGGCCCGAAGCCCGACTATAGCCCGAGGCGGGCTTGGCCCGACCCGTGACATTGTAAATATTCACATTGACATGTTAACATTAACATTGATAGGTGTGTAAAATTTGCCCGATGCCCAAAGCTTGCCCGCGGCCCGGGGTAGGCTCGCCCTAGCCCGTTGACAATGTGAATATTCAGATTGACATGTTAACATGCACATTGATAGGAATGTAGAATTGGCCCGCGGCACATGGGCTGCCCGAAGCCTGACCACGGCCCAGGGCAGGCTCGTTTGGGTCTGGGCCCGAGCTGGTGGGTCAAGCCTCGGGTCGGGCCGATGGGCCTGAGCCTAGCCTCAAGCTTGGGTCGGGCTTGGGCGGGCCTGGCCATTTTTTTTTAATTCTTTTTAATTTTTTCTACCAAAATTTTATTATTTTTCACAAAAAAAGACATTGCACCTCAAGCGAGCTGGCCCTCGGACCGAGCCTTTAATGGGCCTTAAGCGGGCTGATGAGCCGGGCCGGGCTTCAAAGTGATGGCCTAGGCCCTAGCCTAGGGTCTCGGACATGCTCGAGCCCGAACCCAAACGAGCCTGCCCCGGGCCGTGGGCGAGCTTCGGGCAGCCCACGGGCCACAGGTCAATTCTATATTCCTATCAATGTGCATGTTAACATGTCAATGTGAATATTCACATTGTCAACGGGCCGGACTAGGCTAGGCCTACCTCAGGCCGCGGGCAAGCTTCGGGTAGCGGGCAAATTTTACACTCCTATCAATGTTAATGTTAACATGTCAATGTGAATATTCACATTGTCACGGGTTAGGCCAAGCCCGCCTCGAGCTGCGGTCGGGCCATGGGCTGCCCACGGGGCGTGGGCCAATTTTACACTCTTATCAATGTGAATGTTAACATGTCAATGTGAATATTCACATTGTCAACAGGTCTGGCCAGGCCCGCCCCGGGCCGCCCACGGGTCGTGGGCGGTTTCGACTAGCCACGAGGCGCGGACTAATTTTAAACTCCTATCAATGTGAATGTTAACATGTCAATGTGAATATTCACATTGTCAACGGGCCGGGCCGAGCTCGCCCCGGGCCGCAGGCGGGCTTTTGGCTGTCCATGGGCTGTGGGCCGATTTTATACTCTTATCAATGTGAATGTTAACATGTCAATGTAAATATTCACATTGCCAACTGCCCACCCCGGGCCGCCCATGGGCCGTGGGCGGGTTTCGCGCTGCCACAGGACGCGGGCCAATTTTACACTTCTATTAATGTGAATGTTAACACGTCAATGTGAATACTCACATTGTCAACGGGCCGGGCCAATTTTATACTCTTATCAATGTGAATGTTAACATGTCAATGTGAATATTCACATTATCAACAAGCCGGGCCGGGC